CATCCTGTTTGAAATTGAAAACTGAAAGACCTCCAATATTGTTCTTCATTTTCAAAATTGTTTGGGCTATTCCAGTTTTTCATTTCTATATACATTTTAGGATCTGCTTGCAAATTGCTACAAAAGAGGCTACTGGAATCTTGATAGAATTGCCGTGACTCTAAAGATCGATGTGGGAAGAATTGCAGTGTCAACAATAATGAGTCTTTCTGTCCATGAACATCTTTATTTTCCTGCAGCAAATTTTTGTAACTTTCTATGTACAGGTACTGTACTTTTTTTAGATTTTATTTATTTATCTTTAGAGGGGAAGGGAAGGAGAGAGGGAGAGAAATATCAATGTATGGTTGCCTTTCATGCATCCCCTGCTGGGACGTGGCCTGCAGGGAACCTGCCTGCAACCCCAGTATGTGCCCTGACTGGGAATCGAACCGCGATTGTCTGGTTCGCAGGCCCGTGCTCAATTCACTGAGCTACACCAGCCAGGGCCAAGTATTGTACTTTTTTGGGGTTAATTTTACTCCTAAGCCTTTCATTTTTTTTGATTTTATTGTGAATGGAATTGTAGTCTTAATTTTACTTTTAGATTGTTCACTGGTCACATATATTGCTCAAAGGATCTCATTTATTATGATGTCTACCAAAAAATTTTATGTGATAGCAGGGTTCTGGTTGATTCCAAGTGCTGTTAGAAATGCTTAAGGTGATTAGAAACTTCTCATGAATAAAATCACATGCTATCATCAGAGTATCCGTGAAACCTGTAGCCCAGGTCTTGTACAAGATGGGAACTTATCACACTGTTATTGAATAAACACGTAATTTTGGAACATTATCTTTTCAGTTAAAAAAAAACATTGCTACATGGGGCACATAGTTTTATACAAGAAAAAAATAAAATGAATTAAGCCTATTAAATAAAACATGGTTACAGATCCACTTTAGTCAGTTACCTTGATGAAATCTTTATGTAAGCAATGTGAGTTAAAACCTTACCATAGGCTCTTATCAAATTAGGGATTAAGGATTTTTTGTTGGTGAGAACTGTAGTTTTCCAAAACTATGCTATGTATTGTCATGGGGGGGGGGTTTGTTTCAAATGTCTTTGTTTTAACAGAATAAATACTATTGTTAATTTTTACGTAATAGGTGGTAATTGTTCAAGTAAGAGGATACTTACTCCCTTGAAATGTTTCAGGAAATTTTTTCTAGGTTATAAATGTAGAAGTATTGCCAGAAGATAATTTATTATAACACTTGATCAACATATTTAGGTAGTAGTTCCAGAGTTTCTGCTACTGTCTTTACTTACTTCCTCCTTCGTAATATTGAGTTTGGAGGAAATTTCTTAAATTTCAGGACAGAGTAAGACATGGACTGTCACACTGAGTGGCCTTGTCCCCATACTTGTCTCTGGGCACAGGAAAGCTTTTCCTCGTAAAATAGAGGCTTAACCTTGGTAGGGTGCAAACGGAAACTGTCTCGGCATTGAGTAGTGGACATATGGTAGAATGATTTCTTGCAGACTACCGAGCAAGTATGACAGGCCCCAAGGAAGAACGCCAGTCCCAGTCTCCATCTGTAGTACTTGTGTTCTCTCTTATTATATTGGTAATATTTGCATTAAGGTAAACTAGGATGGGTTGGTATATCTCACTTTGTACTCTCAGCTTCTAACACGGTTTTATGAGATACTTGTGCAGCGACCTGAGATCTCACAATCAGGGATTATACTTAAATCTGAAAGATAACTAGTAATACCTGACCCCTTTTGGAAACAATATATCTGACACCTTAAAGGACAGCAGGGAGGACTTGTCAATAAAACAGAGTACACTAGGACATGAAATGGGAAGAGTTCACTCCTCTGGTTTCACGTAGTGATATGAGGTTGCCTCTAGAGGTACGAGTCCACTGTGCTGTGGTCCATGGCATGGGCTGTGAAATCAGGAAATCATGACCAGTCCCTTGGGTCAGTGAAGTGAGGAGGAAATGGGGATTTAGGGAAATGGGGATTTTAGTTTAGTTGGGTATGAAAACCTCCTTTCAATGGTGTTGCCACTTATCAAAAATCAAAAGCACATAAAAATGACAAACTAAGTAGTGAATTTTTGATTGTCAAGGGATAGTTATACATAATGTTGGTGGACATTTACCCACCAAGAAGGTGGGGGATGGGGGCACATCGGAGCACTGTAACTGACCGTGTGAAAACCTGAAGGCATAATAGTTCCCTTAAGAAAATTAACAGTTTCTTTAAGAAAATTATTCCTAAGGACCAGAATGTGCAGACTGTGCCTTTGTATATCACACTTTATTTGTATCAAATGACTACTCTTTGAAATTAGTTTCATTCCTTTTTGATTCCGTTTTATTTTACACCAGTGAAACAGTACTGTTTATGTGCCAGCTCTACGAACAGAACTTTGTAATCAGTTAACTAATGTCAGTTTTATATCCTGCCATGAGATACTTCAAATAGAAAATTATTTGTTTATTTCTATAGAGGATTGATATTTTCATCTAAGTCATAAAAATTAAAACTTCATTTATTTTGCCAAAGCTGAGACAATATAAAGCTGACATTATTATCAATGCTATCATAAATCCCATTAAAATTTCAACATTTTAACACATAAACAGGGAATTATAATTTTTTGTATGTTGTAGCTGAATTTGAATTATAAAAAGTAGTATAGCATGTTGATATGCATTTTTCCTTTTTGCTGTGCATTATCAAATAGGTTTTAAGAATGTTTAAACCTGTGGAGAATTTCTTTGTAAATCAACTTAAATTTTACTTTCAAAACTAGTATTTGGATAGTACTATTTAAAGAACTATGTAAAGTGCTATTTAAATAGTCTCATAATATAGTGGAAATAATTTGTTGGTCAATAATATTTCAAAAATTTATGTATTTTTAATTATTTTTGAAGCCCCATTTCTCTCAAAGGAGTTCTGGCTGGGATAGTTAATTACTATATTTTGCCATGTATAATGCACACTTTTTTTGCCCAAATTTGTGAGGGAAAAAATAAGGATGCACATTATATATGGGTAACACCTGAAATACCTTGTATTTGTTCCTGTGTTTTGTAATTATTTGTCACACAAAATTTCTTGTACCATAATATGTTCAAAAATAAATGCTAAAATTCCTTTATAATACCAAAAACAAGTATTTCAATATAAATAAATAAATAATTGACCTAAAAATTAAAACGAAGGATTTTTTTCCTGAAAGTTTGGGCAAGAAACATGGAGCTGCATTATACATGGCAAAATACAGTATAGGGTTACTCTGCAGGTAAAGGATTTGTTAGCAAATGAAGTCTGTCTTGAGATTCATCCTGGACAGCCTGTGTTCAGCACCCAAGTGGCTGTTACTATTCCACAACCGACCTGGTGCATTTTGCTTGCTTCTTATTCTTTCCTGCCCTGTCTCCACCTTTGACTTTGGGGTCTCAGTAGTTTTAATTACTGCTACAGCTCTTGAGTCAGTGCCTCAGCAGAAATAATAGTTTGACCTCTTTGTTTTGGTCTTGGAAACCTTTCTTAATAATCCCTCCCTTGGAAGCTCATTGGTTTGGCCTGATAATTTAAGTCTTTTCTGCCTGTACCGTGGCCCCAGCCCTTTGAGTTCTGTGTGGAGCAGCACTGTTGAGGCTCCTGGATTGCAGCCCCTGGATTTCATTATTGTCACTTTTTAAATTTGTTCAAGTTTTATTTTTTCCTTCAAGAAATTTTTTTCCTTTTTATTTTTATTTTGTTTCAAAGATTTCTCCCTTAGTGACAAGGTTCGATTTACTTTTATTTTACTTTAAATTATCTAAAACAGATAACCTGATATTTGAATCAATGCCTACTAATAGGACTATTTATTTACATTTTAACTTATTAACTTTTAATTATTAAACTTCTATCTCTTATTTTTTTGAACATTCTAATTCTAGAATAAACTTTTTTTTCATTTGTGATCAATTTTATTAGTTTCAGGATAAAAACACACCAACATATCTTAGAGAGTAATGATTTTTAATAAACTTTTTTTCTTTTCTTTTTTTTTTTTCATTTTTGTTCAGTTGTCTCAATTTCCCCCCAACCCCTCCCTGCCTCCCACCCTTGATCCTACCCCCTTTGGCTTTGTCCATGTGTCCTTTATACATGTTCCTTGATGACCCTTCCCTTCTTCCCCCATTATCCCTTTCTCCCCTCCTCTCTGGTTACTGTTAGTTTTAGAACTCTTTATATAAGTAACAATTTGTTTGATTCAGCAAGGCCATAATTCTTCCAGGAAATTTAATTAACTTGAGTTTTTTATCCTTCTGGAATACCAGAATGGTTTCTATTAGAGTATTCAACTAAAAATGTTACCAGCTGCAGTAGTGATAAGATTCACTCATAAAAATTAATTTCTGATTATCCCACAATTAATAATTTTATCTTTGAAGAGTATACCTTTGAGGTTGATAATAGTTAGCTACTAGTTTTGTGAAAAAAATCAAAATTAGTTATTAGTTATAATGGTCAAAAAAACTTAAGGTATGTTTCTAATGCTACTTTAAATATGACATGGATACCTCTTATAAAGGGTAATAGCTTCTCTGTAATCCACAGAATGTGAAATATTGCTTGTGGCACCACATGACAGGAAACGATGAATAATACTTTTCACTTAACAAAATGATTAATGAAAAATGTTTTGCATGGATTGGGTTCAAAATTTCAAGCTGTGTGCATGTTTCTTGGTAGGTTTATACCATGCTGATGTCACCTCGCATTGTGGGCTTTGGAGAAAGGAAGATGCTACCTGGGAAGGGATTGCACGTCGCTTTGGGTTGCGATGTTTTTATATCAGAAATGTCTAAGATGAATCATCTTCTCATGTAGCTGTCTGTTGGCATGCAAATCTACTAGGAGAGGCTGGAAATATTGGTTTCCATTGCTTTGAGCACCAGTTTCTTCCTCGTCTTGAGGTCCTCAAAAGCTATGTTTGAAAATATCTTTACACTTGTAATAATAGCACATGGCACTGTATAGATAGTGAGTGTTGTACAAACTAAATGAGAAAGCTTTAGACTTGCTTGTCTAAAGGGATTAGACATGTGTACTGTTTTCATCCTCACCACTTTCAACTGATAAGAACAAATACTACACTTGATCTTAGCCAAAAGGATGAGAAGTGATCATCTTCACCAATTTAAAAGAGTTCTGGTGTCTGTGCATCCTTGACAGCAGTTGTTAATATTTTGAATTTTAGTCACTCTAATAGGTTTTCAGTGATAGCTCATTATGGTTTTAATTTGCATTTCTCTAAAGACTAATCGTATTGAACATGTTACATGTGCTTGCCATCTGTATATATTCTTTGCTAAAATTTTGGTTCAAATATTTTGTCTAATTTTAAAAAATTAGATTATTATTGAATTTTGAAAAAAATATATACATTCTAATGCAAGTCTTTAGGGGGAGTTGGAATTTCTTTTAACAAACTATGTATGGACAATATTTATTTATTTGATTTTATCCAGAAGGCTCATTTTCAATGCTTAACTGGAATAAATATTATGAACTCCTTCTCTTTAGCAGTTAAGACCCTACTTTTGTCCTTTAGTCAACTACTGAGTAAATTTTTTACTGGCTTGTGTTCCCTTGCCTGGAAAATCAATAGACTTGTATTTCACATAATGAAGGATCCAGTGGCCTTATATTATTCTTTGACAATACGAATCCTGACTCTGTTATCTCTCAGCCAAACTGCTTTGGGTATATTACTTAACCTTACAGAGTCTCAGTTTACCTCACTATAAAATAAAGATGGCCTTAGAATTTTTATGAAGATTGGATAGTAAGTATAAAGTGCTCAGTTAGAGCCTGGTATATATTAGAAGTCCAATAAATATCTCTTTTTGCTCTATCAATAATACTAGTTTTGGCTGTTTTTATATAAAACTTTAAGCTGTATAATTTATTCTTGCAAGTTAGTTAATGCATAGCAAACAAAATTTAGAAACATAATCAGACAGAAAAATAAGATTTCCTATAATGGGGACTTTTCTTATATTTTCTGCCAAAATTGTGGTATGTGACTTGCTGTTTTGGAAGTATGGAAATTGGCTAATCTTATTATGGACAATTGCATAATTTACTTCCTTAGTAAACTCAATTAGAGCTACAGCCATGGATGGGAAGAGGCCAAAAATAGTGATTAGAGCTTATAAAGGCATTAGCAGTTCAATAATTGTATAATGAAGAGCAAGCAAATGCTTCCACAGTTATGGAAGAAATGTAAAGTGCTTAGTTAAATAGTTATTTGGTGTTAATCAAAGATTATTTTTATGACAATAAATTGTAATTTTATTTATCCAGAGTAACTAGATTCTCTTAATTTTCTTAATGTAAATGTGAAGACTTTAAGGAATGTATTGTAGGCCTTGAATAGTTAATATTTTTTTAGAATATCTGGGCATATTATTTAACTTTGGGAGATAATGCAAAGAAGGATAAACTTGAGGTAAATAGTTAATCCATGCAATGGAAAAAGTCTTTAGTAGACTAATTTCGAGATTTATTTGAGAGAGTCAGAGACAGATACAGAGATATATGAAGGGTGGGGACAAGTTAGGGGGAAAGGAAAGAAACCATGTTTGTGAGGCTGCATTAGTGGTTTGCTGTACATTGGGCTCCCCTAGGGAGGGGTCCTTAAAGGATATTGGATACTGGTACTTGGCTACCACTCCTAGACATTCTTATTTAATTGGTATGGGGCTTGAGCTGGATGTTGGAAATTTGAAAACTACCTCAGGTGATTCTAGTGTACAACAAAATTTGAGAACCATTGGATTAGTCATAAATTTTTTTAAAAGTTTGGTTGAAGCTCACTTTTGACCAACAGCTATGTGGGAACAAAATGGTGTCCCATAACTAGACTTTAAATGAAAACTTATGAGAATTTTGCTTAAGCATTCTGCCAAAAATGTTAATTTTTCCCTAAAGGAACAAAGGTTGGCTTTCATACCAGGTTTGGGGCAGCAGGAATCAAGAAACTCGATTCTGGACTTGTCTCTGGCTCTCAGTGCCTCACTCACTAGCTGTGTTAAGTTGGGGACTTAACTTTGCTAGCTTTCAGTTCACTTAGAAGTAAATGATGTTGTGAGACTGCTAAGTTTTATAATATTTCCTAGCTCTAAATTTTTGTAATCTCATAGTGTAACAAAAACAATGAGTACTAGGTAAAAAGTGGAAAAACACAAATTAGTAAATTTTACTAAACATATAACTTTGATACATGTAACCTGAATGAACTGAGCCTCTTTGGCACTGGCAGCGGTTGTATTTCTCTCTCTCTCTCTTTCACACACACACACACACACACACACACACACACACACACACACACACACACACTGCAGGCACATATACTCACCAAGAGGCAGAGCTCTAGCACCAAGGTTCTTCAAGATAGAAGACTATGAAAAAAAAAAAAGATAGAGAGAAGACTAATTATAGCACTGTCTTCCCCAATACACATAATAATATCCTAAAAGTACTCTTTAACTGTTTCTTTTTCATTTAACAAAATAGCTATTTCCACTAATAGAAACCAGCTGTTCCCATTTTTCTTTCCTAAGACTTGACCCCATATACCAACAGGCTCTTTAGAACTGCTCTTCAGCCATCAGAACCTTTATATTCTAAGATCGGCTCATCAAGGCATTGTCCAATTTTCTTGGACTACCTTCAGATTCTAGAGAACTTGGAGCTGTTTGTAAGAATGGGGTCCCAAAAGTCAATCAGGATTTCATTTCCTTTTCATCCAGGAGAGTGTGTCTATCTCCTGACTGCACTGGTTCACCAGATGGTTTTCTCTGCTACAGTCAAAACAAATGCACTTACTTCTACCCTTGCAAAGTCCTGGGAAGTCCTGAGCTGTTATGGATTTTATTCCATAATGTAAAGTATCCTAAAGCATCAAAAATTAATGTCTAAAAAAAATTAATGTCTAGCTGGTGGATTAATCACCTTTTAAATCTTGCCTCACTACAAGAAAATTGAGAAGCACTCAGGTTAAATTAGGATTGAAGGAGTCACTTATTCCTATTCATCCGAATTGTGATGGCTGGGAATCTGTTATCAAGAGACTGAATCACATGTGTGCTACTTTGGTTCCCCATGATCATTTCTGTAACTCTATTATAAAATCAAAATTTGATCATGCTTCCTGGGCTCTGCCACAGTGTCCTCTTCTTCTTTATCCTCTCTCATTAGCTTTATTAACCACAATTCAAGTATATGGCAAGTGTTGGCTGTGCATTCCTTTGGTACTGTTCTAATTCAGATGCTTCTGGTTCTTCAAATTGTGTTGCACCACAGTTGTGCTTGTTGCTTAATTATTTGACCTCCTTACTAGGAAAAAGCACAATTTTGTTTGCCTCCAAGAAGATTTTCATTTTTACAGCATATAAACAAAAGACTTAATTTTTAACATCTCTGCTTGGATTTTTGAATCCGCACTAAAACCATCGTCCCCCAAAGCTATGCTTTGTAGAGAGAAAATGAATTTTCTAAATTCTTCTAGCTTCCATTAGCATATTAACATCTAATTCTGGTTGCTTTGAATGTCAAGGGTTCTGTAATCCAGGAGTAAAGGAATTTGCTCAAGCAGCAAATAATCCTTTTAGCTTAAAAGTCAAGAAAGACAAAGACAGGCATGTGATTAGTTATTTTGATATTTTGTCCCTGTCACATATTAATACATTTACTTTTATCATTTTAAAATTGATCTTCTAATCTCAGTTTACTCAATCACTTTCTCCTGTCGAGATGAACAGTCATACTCTTCATATCTATCTGTGTGCTTCTGTTAATATGCATATATGAAATATATCTCAATGTGTATTTACATACACATTTACTCATTTGTTGAGTTGACTTTCTCAACAAATTTGGAATGAGGTATATAAATTTAGAATTAGGTCAGGTATATAAACCAGTAAGAAAACACAATTAAAAGCCTAATAATTTTTAAAAGATTTTATTTATTTATTTTTAGAGAGAGGGGAAGGAGGGAGAAAGAGAGGAAGAAACATCAATGTGCCCTGACTGGGGATTGAACTGGTGAACTTTCACCACTCCAACCAATAGAGCCACAGCAGTCAGGGCAAAAGCCTCATAATGTAAACTAATAAGAGATGTTCTAATTCTGATAAAAGTGAATCCTTTCAGCACAAAGATTCTTCTCTTTGCCTCTAACTGTAGTGTTTTTCTTCAGAGCCCCTTTTTCCCCACACAGTGTAATGCGGGTACTTCCCTCTGTATTTCCCTGAATGCTCTAACGCTATAAATTGTTAGAAATTTATAAATTGAAGAGGAACATGTGAAATTGTGCCTATAAATTGAACTGTGCACGTTAAAGTATTTATTAGAAAATGTCACCTTAATATACTATACAAAATATTTCATCAGTTTGATTTACTAGATTTACTATAATTTCACATGAACTCATTTTTAACTTAGCTTAGTGAGTAATCACTTTTGAAGGCTAATCATTGAAGTTTACATTTAGGAGACCTGAATTTTAATTGTAAATTGTCTCAAGACTACAGAATGGTGGAAAAAATAATAAAAAGAATATCTATGTGTCCGCTGCCCAGGTTTGTGAAATGTTGACTACTTTGCCATATTTGCATCAGATTAAAAAAATAAAGTACTATAGACATACATTAATATTTATGTGTTCTTCCTCAAATTCATTCCCTTAATTTTGAATTCTTTCTAAAAGTGATGCACTCTGTTAAAGTTGTGCTTGTTTTTCCCATGCATTTATAACTTTTATTATATACTTATGAAAATAAAAGCAATAAAAGCATTGTTTTACAAACTAAAAATTTATATAAATTTTATGTAAATATAGGAATCTGTTGCAAGCTGCTCTTTTTTACACTTATTTTTACAATGTCCATATTGCTTTTATAATTTATTGCAAATGCTATCCAATATTCCAATTAATGGGTTGCTATACCATAGTTTATTAATTCATTGTCTTGTTGATGACATTTAAAAAGTATCTTTTTTCTTGTCCTTACCAAAGTGATGTAAAATACATTCTTGTAATGTGTTTATTATGTTGGTATTCTCAAGTGAAGGTCATTGCTTCACTCAAGATGACCTTTTGTGGGAGTTCCCAT